CCCCCGTTTTGCGCAGGCCTGAGCGCGGGACCCTGGGGAGGTCGGCTTCATCCCCGTCTCTTCACCCTTCATTTCCACAGAAACGCATTTCAGGGTTTTCTTTCGCTAGGCGTTGATCAAGACCTTTCTTTCAGCGTGGACCCTGGGAATAAGCCCTAGCGGAAGGAAACAAGTAAAAGCCCAGAATCTTATCTCTGTGTCCCCGATTGAGAATTGGTGATATGAGGTCTGAATTGGCAGAGAACACGCGGAATACTTTTTAAAAATGATGGAAAAGAACATTTTTTAAAAAAGGAAGAGGATCTTTGAAATGCCAGGCTTCAGTAAAAAAGAATTTTGTGTACGTGGTTTCCCTGCTGCCCAGATATTTATCTAATAATCCAGAGATTAATCTGCATCCTTTTTCCTGACTTTCCTCGACTTCTTTTGCTAATTTATCAAGACTGAAATTGAATTGGCCGATGCGGATCGGTGCATTTAAAAAAAAAAGAAAAACAAACGGTCCCGTTCAGAATTCGGCCCTCCGAGATTGTGAACGACGCAGCCCTTTGCAATAATTCTGCCAGCGCCTCCGGAGTTCCTCGCGTTGGTCTGAGAGACGGAGCATGGCGGGGAGGGGCGTGACTTCGCTACCCTGCGCCGCTAGCCCACAGGAGGTCCCCCTGTACCAGACTCGTTCTGCTGGACTTTCCCCACCCGTTTTATTTCATCTTCCAGAGGGCTTGCGCTGTTGTGCGTCACGAGCCTGGCTGGGTACTGACAGCGGACCCGGCTGTGGTGGCGGTGGGTACTGATGAACAGAACCCCCTGTGCTATGAGTTTGTGTCCACTTTCCTCAGCACGGGAATTTCAGGACATTCCGTGATCTACAAGGTTCTCCAACAACGCGTAGTGCTTAGCGAGAGAGAGGGCGGGCACTGACTTTTTCTTTTATTTTATCCGCTCACTTTCTAGGTCACTTTTGGGTATGTAATGCATTTTAGATCTTGTTTTATTATAAAAGGACAAAAAATAACCTCATACAGTTTTAATTTGAATTTTGTTTTATATGGCACTACCACTTGCTGTGTGATGGACTGGGTCTCCAGAAATTATGCTTGTCGTGTGTCCAGTTACCAGCTTCACAATAGGCTGTTGTAGAAAAAAGAGCTCTTGAAAAACACAGAACTAATCTGTAGATCATTCATGGAACAGACTACATGTACAGTTTTTTACCATTGGATACAGAAGTAGTTTATCGTTGTTGTTTTTTTCCTGTAGGGGCAGAAGCATCCATATTGTTTTCTCATGGAGGTCTCCACGGTTCCCAGAGTCTATTCCTTGGTCTCAAGTTACACAGAAGCCCATCAGCTACAGGGAGAGGGGTCGGGGTCATTCTATGAGCAGTTTAGCCAGAATTCCTCTCGCAGGAAAGCTGAATGTGAAAGTGCCAGTATGCTCAATAAATGTGTTTTTGTTATGCCGTGTAACGTCTGTAGTAAATATGCAGTGTGTATAATATTCTAGGATGTATTGAAGAGGCGGTGCTGTTGACACTTGTAACGCACAAAAAACGTGACCTTCAGGCGTGACGGCAGCCGCCCCCTTCTCCTCTCCAGCTGCTGTCTGTCTTTACGAGCGCCGGCGTCGGCACGCTGCCCGAAATCGAAGACTCGGATATTTTTTTGGTAGTCGAACACCCACCCAACAAATCGGAATCTCTGTACCGATCCCACCCCCACCTTCCTTGGCGGCCCCCAGCTTGTCCCGCGGTTTTGTGTCATCGTGTGGATCCCGCGCATCGGTGCCTGGCTCGTTTGCTTTGGCCTGTTCCAGGGCTGCAGCCCCGCCAGTGCAGTTGCTGGATAACTGGGCAATACTGTGGAGGTGAAGCAAGAGGAAGCCTTTTGCAATCCAGGAGGGGTTGTGAGCGTCCGTCTCTTTCATAGACGCTGAAGGATGAGCTCCCTCTTTTTTGCGGGCCCGCGGTCCTGTACGAGCCGAAGACCTGTGAGCGAACTCGATCCCCGCGACCACCAGTGCGAACAGGAAGGGACGCAGCCCGTCTGCCTCCCTTTTATTTTCTAGGTTGATACTGGTGCCAGTGTGAGTATTAACCCCAGATACCTGAAGTGAGTTCTTGAACTTGTGCATTGAAGACTGAAGACACAAGTCTTGTCTTGACACAAATGGTTGTGGGGGTCTTAAGTTATGCTGTTGAAGCCGATACCCTGGTTTGCTTCAAGAAATGGCTGGATGGGATCAATTAGCTCCTAGCAGCTAAATGGACTTGATGGCCCAAAGGCCTCCTCTTGTTCTGTACCCTTTCGTAAGTTAAGGGGGTCTCCAAGCCTGTTCCTGGAGGGCAGCCTGCCTCACCAGTTATTTAAATATGAGGATCCCTTACTTAACGTTTCTATAAAGGGAAAGGGTCGAAGGCTGTTCTGATTATTTGATCTGAATGATCTTGAGTCTTTAAAAATTGATTATTTCAATAAAACGTGCATGACGGGGGCCCTCCGGGACCAGGGCTGGAGACCACCGGAGTGAAAGTGTGTTCAGTAGACAGACAGGAGGTATTGCACAAGCAGTGATGGATTTTTCTGATAGTTCTGATTAAAGGTACAGGGTGCTAATCGTAGGCAGCTGCAGCTACACAATCTCAGTATTAACCAGGAGTAGGTCAGAATACGGTGAGGTGTGGATTTTTTTTCTTGTCCGTTAGCGGTTGGCAACTGAGTGTGAATTGAAATGACTGAATTCGGTAATTGCTGTAAAAAAAAAAAAAAGACACTTTCTGAGTTTCCCATGCCATGAGAAGGTACACATCATCCTGAAAGCTTTGGGTTTCTATATGTGTCATAAGGCTAAAAATCACTACTGGACGTTTTCCTTGCTGTTGCTGTAGTAGAAGTCTTGAATCCTCCAAATCCTGTTCTGTGCACAGGGGTCCTGGTGATCACGTCAAAACCATTTGTGAGAAGTTGTTGTAAGTTGTTAACTGTTCTTGACTTCTGACCACATAGCAGAGCTTCCACATTCTGGTCCTGGTGACCTTAGTCTGTCTTTTGTTCAAGCTGGGTGTTCACCCCATTTTCTTTTGCCGAAAAGACAGGGATGGTAGTTATCTTCAGTACCATAGAACCTAATCAATCGGACTACTAGTTCAGTTAATAAAGGGCTTGGTTATGTAAGAGTTCCCAGCAGCCCAGTATACCTGCCGAAACTGGGGGTCACCACGATCAGGTTTGGGGATCGCTGCTGCGCCCGGTGTTGCTTTAGGCTGTTGCTCTCCTCAAGACAGCGCCTTGACTGCCGAGCTGAAAACGTACCGTCTCCTGCCCACGGGCTGACGGAACCCACTCCCCTCCCCAAAGAGGATTGGCCAGGGGAAAAGATCCCCCTTTTTACATGCTCAAGTACCTGGCTCTTTCCTAGAGCAGGGTTCGCTCTTCAGAGGCGGAAAGAAAGAGTTACCCTGGACTTCCTTGTCCCCGACAGAGGCTCCTGTGCTGCTGTGGTTTTGGTTCTAGTAGACGTACAGCCCTCTGCCCTTCGCAGTTGGCTTCCTGTCACGGGGGCAGGGAGCATGTGCGTTTGGCCTGTAATGAACAGGAGTGGTGGGGGTTCTCGGGTTTTTGATGCAAAGGCTTTACCTTCCGGCGCTCCCGGTGCTCGACCCCCGTGTCCCGAGGAGGGCGAGGGACGCCCCTCTCGGGGCTGGAGCGCGCTGGCAGAGCCCCGGCTCGTAGGGGCGCTCGCACGGCACGTCTTCTGTGAAACTGCTCATGTGAGATGTGCAAAAAACAAAAAGGGATTGGGATGTATTTAAAAAAAAAAACACATTAGTCTTATTCTGTGTGGTGCTTTTTATATAGAATGTGGGATGTAGTACTTGGGAAAACCAAATGATGTCTTTTACAAACGAGGGGGAAGAGTGAACAACCGTAGTCCTCCTGGGGGGGAAGGGGGCTGGAGCAGTTGTTAAATACCAGTGGGTCCTAATGGGGGGCTGCTAGTGCTGCCTTTTCTTTCGTGAGTAGCAGTGGCTCCCTCTGCTGTTACCTACGCGTCATTACCTGGAAATCGTGCAAGGAGGCTACAGGCAGCTACTGAGCTCCAGAGCAAAGGAAAGGTTCCAGTCTCTGAGAAACGCAAGACTCCTGTTGTGTTGCAGTTGGTGCTGTTTCTGGTTCTTGTGCTCTTTCACAGAGCAATAGTGGGTGCTAGATTTTTTTTTTAACCCTTGACTGAATTTGCACAGAGAGCTCGGTTTGCCGGACGGCAGGTCTGCCTCCGATTCGTTTCATGACTCCCTGAAAGATCGCTGTGAGTGAGAGCTGTGCAGGAGTGAGCAGGAGGGGTGCAACGACTTGGTTTGACTCGAGAAATTGGGAAATTGCCCAGCTCTTGTGTTTGTTTTTTAGTGTTGCTAAATTACCAACATTCCCAGCAGGTAAATGACCCGTTTTCAAAAATGAACAAGACTACTGAGCTGTGCATAACTAATTAACTGAACTAATTTGACCTGTATATACGATTGCATGCAGATACACATCCAGTGATCCTGAGAGGTCCCGTGCTCTCTTTCAGGCAGAGACTGAGAACTGTATGGACAAAAATTCTAAGATCCACTTTAAGAGATCATTCAAGAGTGTAGGAGATCGGCCTTTTCCTTGGAACATATTGGCTGAACATGAACATGAATAAAAATGGGGGGAAAAAAAAGTCTTTGCCTTTGAGATGCGGTGCAGGTGTACCCAAGACTCTTCAGTCGAATGCTTTGCAATCATTTTGCTTTTGAAGTGTCAAAATTGGCCCTGCACACTCCATGGAGTGGGATGTTGATGGGGTGAGCAATTACCCCCTTGCCTGCCAAACAGGTTATGCTGAAAATGATGTCGGGGTGTCAGGAGGTGCTCACATACTGAACAGGATGTACCATTCTTCTCCCAGCATGCATTGCAGGATTATTTCTATTTTAACTACTCAGTCCAATCATATTTTGTACTTGGGGGGGGATTCTAATGTCGTCATGTCTCCTACAGTGTTTATACTGTTTGTATTCAGCCCGATTGTGAGATACTGTATTCCTGAGTTTTTTTTTTTAATTGGCTTTTTTCATGTTTGTCCTTTCCTGCTGTGTTTGAGAAATCAACGTGCCTGCTTTCCTCCTGCTGTTTCGCATTTTTTCACTCCCAATGCCACAGCTTGTCCACTGTTCAGCAGAGATGTTGCTGTTGTAAAGAAAAAAAAAATATGCTGCCTTGTGAGAGGATTCCTGAACCGTACTGTAGTCCTTTGTATATAATAAATACTGTAAGTAAAGTTTCACTTTACTCATAAGCGGCTGTGTTGCGCTATGATTTTTTTTAACAATGGTGTCATTGTGTGGCTGTGCCTGAATCAACAGGTAGGGGATGTGACAAGTGAACAGAATGGTTCACTGCCTCAGGAGTGCAGCAGTGAACAACCTTCATGGGATCTGTACCCTTTCTGGCTCCAAGTCGATCACTCCTGGATGAATGTAAAGGACAGAACACTGGCCAAATGCTAATTGCTTTTACATCTGTCTGCTGAACTCCTTTCAAATGTTTAACAGTTTTGCTCCGTTACGCCATGATGGTTGAAGGTTCTTGAAAAAAATTCATAACTTACTTTTTTAGCTTGTGTCCCTAAAACATTCTGAAAA